ATAGTTTTCTATTATGTACCTACTAAATGCGAACGATGTCACGATTCTTCAGTGGCAAGCAAAATGGAGGTATTATATAAAAAAATTCGTTATTATTGGATTTTGATATTTTCTATCGGTATTCTCTATAGATAATGCTTGCCAATTATCGTTTGAAGCTCAGCAAAAAGGGTCATTATTAGGGGTCTGGCGAAAAAATGAGGTCTTGTTATTGTTGTGAAACGCGAGCCGGTTGCCCCCAGAGCTCAGAGCCATTGTGCATGCCGCTAGTAAGAGTGTTTAAAAACAGGTCCATTAAACGTGTAAGGTCAAACATTAGCTTTACTGGATACTCTTTAATGTTCTGAAGTGACAGAAATGCTGCTTCCAGGTATCTACGTTTTTTCACCATCAAGTAAACACGGTGACAGAGAATATGTAATCATCAATATGTTGTGCCCACACAACCTGTACTTGCGTTTGTGCTCTGCCCTATTCTATTGAGGTGTTTATCAAAATATCCATAGGTACTCCGTTAAAAGTCCTGTGATAATCGTAATCTTTCTTCTACTTAGCAAACTAATTTTCAGATTTGCTTCAGCCCATGGACCATCTATAAGAAGGCTGACCTGACTCAAACTGAGATCTGCATGACCATTCTTCTGTTTTTTATCCAAATGTCAACGAACTTGTTACATAACATTGTGGTAGATCGAATATTGTTTCGAGAAAAGGGGTGTTTGCATAAAAAATATGTATCGTTTTGTTGCTAAATACTATTCCCCTATGAAAGTCATTATGAACTGTACAGGCTGGTCCATTTTTGATGGGAATTCAGGGTATTTCAGAAACTACTAAAGACATGAAAAATCTGACACAACGTTCTCGAGCTCGATTTTCATGGCATACTCGACTGTCAGATCGGAAATTTGCTATTTTCATTCGTTTCTGAGTTACAGGACGTTTCTCGTTACTGTCTCATTTTTTAACATGTCTGTAGCTCAGCTGTTAAATAAGTTAGAGTTAAAGTAAAAACTGCTCAAGGCTAACTCTTTAGCGTAGAATTGAATGCCGGTATTAGATTTTTAGTAGATCTTAAGATTTCGGAGTTATGACCCAAAGTTATATTTTTTTAAATGGAAATCGTAGCTAACCACGGCCTAAAAAAATTGAGATTTTTTTACGCTTTTTAGCAATATATCATATGCTATAGTTATTTTTACAAACACGGGAGATACGGGGTGTTTTATATATAAATTATATATTTTTTTTCTTTTTAATATGAAAAGATAAAACCATAATTCTTACTTTTACAAAAGTCATATCTGTTGTAAAAATATGACATTTATTTTAAATGCACAACATATACTCGTGTGATAATATAATACTAACGAAATTTTAGGAGATAAGTGGATAGGAACAAACGGACCTATCAGATGGCCAGCTAGGATACCTGATTTAATTCCTTTGGGGTTTTCTAAAAGACATTATATTTAAAATTCCTTTTAATAATATTTCAAATATACATTTAATGAATGCTACCCGAAGCGTTGCCAGAAGATGCGTGAAATGTGTGACAGTTGAGGGACGGCAATTTGAACATTTAGCTATCATTTTTGAAAGTTTTTATTGATGTAGGTACTTACTATTGTTTAATTTACGTTTAATATTGTAACTTCAGTTGAAGTGGAATAAAAATTTGAAAACTCTGTCTTTTCTTATCTGTAATATATATTTTAAATAAACGTCATATTTTTACAACAGATATGAGTTTTGTAAAAGTAAGAATTATAGTTTT